CAAAACACCAAACATACAGAATAAAGAGAAAAAAATTAAGAGCAGCAGAGGAAAAATGTCAAGTAACATATAAAAGGAAACCTATCAGAATTACACCTGACTTTTCCATGGAAACTCTAAAAGCCAGAAAGTCCTGGATAGATATTGTACCTACACTAAGAGACCACAGATGCCAGCCCAGAATACTATACCCAGCAAAGCTTTCAATCAATATCGATGGAGACAACAAATATTCCATGAAAAAAAAAAACAGATTCAAACAATACATATCCACCAATCCAGCCCCACAGAAAGTTCTGGAAGGAAACCTGCAACCCAAGAAAGTTAACTACAACAGAAAAATATAGACTATAGATAATCCCACTTTACCAACAGCCAAAAGGAAAAAAGGATAAAATCCCATACATAATTTTGCCAACATCACCAAATCAAAAACAAACAAGAATTAACAATCCATGGTCATTAATATCCATCAACATTAATGGTCTTAACTCTCAACAGAATGGATAAGAAGACAGAATCCTTCCTTCTGCTGCATACAAGAAACTCACCTCAACTTTAAAGACATATGGTACCTAAGAATTAAAGGTTGGGGAAAGATCTTCCAATCAAATGGACCCAAGAAACAAGTGGGGGTAGCAATCCAAATATCCAACAAATTGGACTTTAAACTAAAATCAATCAAAAGAGATGAAGGAGGTCACTTACTACTCATCACAGGAGAAATCCATCAGGATGCAGTCTTAATTCTGAACAGTTATGCCCCAAATACAAAGGCATCCATGTTTGTAAAAGAAACATTACTAAAACTCAAATCACACATAAAACGGCCCACAATTATAGTGGGAGACTTCAACACCCCACTCTCACCACTGGACAGGAACACCATACAGAAAATTAACAAAGGGACTAATCGAAGTTATGACACAATTGGACTTAACAGATATCTATAGAACATTCCATCCAAATGCAAAACAATTTACATTCTTCTCAGCGCCACATGGAACCTTCTCTAAAATTGACCACACACTTAGTTCTTCTCAGAGCCACATGGAACCGTCTCTAAAATAGACCACATAGTTGGCAATATAGCAAACCTCAACAGTTACAAAAAAATTGAAATAAGCCCCCTGTTTCTTATCAGACCACCGTTCTTTAACATTAGAATTCAACAACAACATGAACTACAGAAAACCTACAAACTCATGGAAGTTGAGTAACAACACCCAATTGCACAATTTATGGGTCCAGGAAAAAAAAAAAAAAAGAAATTAAAGGTTTCCTAGAATTCAATGAGAATTCAGACACAACATACCCAAACCTATGGGACAGTTTGAAAGCAGTGCTAAATAGGGCTAAGTGCCCACATGAAGAAACAGGAGAATAATCACACTAGAGAATTAACAGCACAACTGAAAGCTTTAGGACACAAAGAAGCCAATACACCCCAGAGGAGCAGATGCCAGGAAATAATCAAATCGAGGGCTAAAATCAATAAAATGGAAACTAGGGGAACAGTACAAAGAATCAGCATAATGAAGAGTTGGTTCTTCGAGAAAATTAACAAGATAGACAAACCTTTATCCAAACTTACCAAACAGCAGAGAATGAACACACAAATTAATAAAATCAGGAATGAAAAGAGGGAACATAACAACAGACACAGAGGAAATCCAGAGAATCATCAGGTCATACTTCAAAAACCTATATTCCTCAAAATTCGAAAATCTAAAGGAAATGGACAATTTTCTGGACAGATTTCACTTACCAAAATTAAATCAAGAACAGATAAGCAACTTAAATAGACCTATAACCCCTAATGAAATAGAAGTAGTCATCAGAAGTCTCCCAACCAAAAAATAAATAAATAAATAAAAATCCAGGGCCAGATGGGTTCAGTGTAGAATTCTACCAGAAATTCAAGGAACAGGTAATACCAATTCTCCTCAGAGTATTCCACACAATAGAAGCAGAAGGGTCATTGCCAAACTCTTTTTATGAGGCTTCAATAACCTTGATACCCAAGCCACACAAAGACACAACTAAGAAAGAGAACTACAGACCAATATTCCTCTTGAACACTGATGCAAAAATTTGTAGGGGAAGCTGTAGCCATGCCTGCTTAGGTGTGTGCCTGACCATGCCTGGGAGGGCGTGGTCAGGATGATGTAGAGTGAGAGGTGGTTAGGTGGCTGGTTTCAGTTTCGGTTTTGCTTTCAGCTTGCTGTACAGACTGCTGCCCTCAGGCTGGCTAGGTCGCTCTGTAAGTAAGGCTTTTTCCTTATTAAAATCCCTTGTATTTCTACCTGGCTCCATATTGGTAATTTCCCACATTGTCTGGTTGTCAGTGGGATATTGGAGTGGGATATTAGAAACTTAGGCCCTCTGGGACAGCCTGTGGGTTCCATCGGGGTGCTCCCACCTGGCAGCCAACTTGCTGCACCACACATGTGCTTTCAGGCTGCCTTTGAGCCTCTCAGAACCGTTTGCCCAGCTGGGAGATTTCCACAGACCTCCCCACGGTTACTGTCGCGGTTTCTAGTTGCAGGCACCGGACTGGCAGGAGGCCTACCCACACCCTGAGGCCTCCTGCCCTAGAGCCAAGTAGGCCTCTGTTTTCAGTAGTAGCTTCCCCTGGCTGCTGCCCCTGGCCGTTGTGGCATAAAGCAGTGTCTCTTTTCAGTGGTTGTGCCACAAGGCTGTATATTCTCTGATGACACCCTATGGAAGGCCTCACCATACAGAAAGGATATGTAATAGGTAGGGTTTTAGTTGGGGGGGGGGTGGTAGAGGAGTATGGGAGGAAGAAGGGAACTCGGATTGTCATGTAAAACAACCTTGTTTCTTATTCAAATAAAAAAATCTGAGAGGAAAAAAAGAAAGAAAGTCGTCTTCATAAGAGAATGATTGGGGCCGGCGTTGGTGGCGCATGCCTTTAATCCCAGCACTCGGGAGGCAGAGGCAGGCAGATCTCTGTGAGTTCGAGGCCAGCCTGGTCTATAGAGCAAGTGCCAGGATAGGTTCCAAAGCTATACAGAGAAACCCTGCCTCGAAAAAACCAAAAGAGAGAGGGGGGAGAGAGACAGAGAGAGAATGATTGGAACTAGAATGTTCAAGCAGGCACCAGAATGTCCGGGTAGTCACCAGAATTCCCAGGCAGGCACCTTGACTCCAATAGCCTGGTGCAGAAAGCAGGTGATGGCTCTATGTTTGGTAGGCACCTTTATCAGCCAGGCAGAGCTGAGAAAATAGCTAGAGGCTGAGCATTCACTGGTACTTGTAAGACTGTCAGCAATTTAGAAACTGCAAAGGTGACTTGTGAGTGGGAGAAATAAACTGCTCCAGTCCATAATAAAGAGTCAGAAAGACCAGCGTGTCCACCAGGTTGGTCCAATCCTAGCTGTCTCCCATTGTTAGCATCAGTAATGCCATGTTTCAGAAGTAAAATGTCCCATGTCCAGTCCAAAACTACACATTTCAACTGAGCCCTATGACTCCAGCTCTGGGCCAGTCTGGAGCAATATCCCCATTCAAAGCAAAAAGGAAATCTTCTATTTCATTCATAACCCAGGGGGAGTGTGTTTTTCTTATAGCCCAGGAAGTGTGTTTTCCTCATAAACCAGGAAGTGAGTGTGTTTTCTTCACCCTAGGATGGTTTCTGAAAAATAGATCAGAGATAAACATAGAAGATGTGAATATTCCTCCCAATGCCGTGTTCACTGTCTACTCCTTTTTGTTAGGTGCAGTCCTGGTACTGGTCATATTTAATAACCCTCTTTATTTTGAGGGATGGCTATGATGATATCTTGCTTATACAAATAAAGCTTGTCTGAAGATAAGAGGATGGAGCTTGCCACTAGTTAACCATAGAGGTCTGGAGGTATGTACAGACAGACAGGAAAAGAGATGGCTGGGTGGAAATAGGAAGTGAGATGACTGGGCAGAGAGAGGATTTAAGCAGGAAGAAGCAGAAACTGGCTCTCTTTTCCACTGGGAAACTAATGAGGTAAAGTTGGCTTTGGCGTGATCCTTCTCTCTGTTCTCTCAGCATTTTCCTCTATATCTGACTCTGGGTTTTTTTTATTTAGGCCAATTAGAATTCCATTTACCGACGGCCACTAGCAAATTTCTATGGACTGCTGACTAAAGAAACCCTCCCAACATGTCACACAGGCATCACTACTCAAAGAAATGATGCAGAACCAGCAGCCCAGTGCAAAAGCTCTGTCTGTTGTGCTGTGGGGACTCTGCTGCCTGTTTAGGTAATGGAGAAACACAGTACCCCAGAACCATAAGATCCATGCTGAGTTCCTCATCAGATTTAAGACCGTGTTGGGATATTTATTAGTTTCCATGAAGGGGTTTAATTACTAGAATGGGTAAAATGAAAAAGGGAAATACATTCTCCTTCTGTGTCCATGAATAAGATAGGTTTTGCTTCCTGCTTTGATTGTGAACATGGCCTGGGATGTGCCCAGAGTCTCAGGGCTGAGCAGAGATCTGTGGTTTGGACTGGACAAAGGTTATTCTGTGGGTGGGAAGTGGGCAAACACTGCCACAAATTCTTTGTTGACTGGAACTCTTGGAATGCAGCTTTGCCATTCATCTTGGTCCTTGGATGTTCTTCACTTTCCTTTGTGATCCCAGGAATCAGCTCTATTGCTGTAGAGGGCAAGAGCTTGATACTGGTTTATAATTGTGAATTGTTACAGATAACAAGAACGGGGTAGTTCCTAGAAAACAGACCAAAGAAAGGCTAATAAGTGTAAATACTCCTCCAAAACCCAAAAATGTCAAGAACCCAGACCTAGTGATGGCTGTATACAAGTGGTATCTGTAAGAACTACACTCTGACATTAGCTGGGGTCCTGATTAGTGGTGAGGACTGAGAGAGAAAAACAGATCAAGACTGGCTTTGAAGCTTCCTTCTGACCCAGGCAGCTGAAACTGAACTTTACAGAATATGAGACTTAGCGGGCTCTGAAGAGAGGATAACCAACTTGGTTTTTATTATGGGAAGTATATTTATTTATTTATTTATTTATTTATTTATTACAGCAGAGTTTTAACTTCCTTATAATTGAGTTCATCCATATTCGTTACAGAAACAAACACATGGAAAAAGAATTTGTGACATGTCATCAAATTTGCTTAAGTGTATAAATTACAAAATAGATTGTTTTCAGCATAAAGCAAGTGTCACACATTTCTCTTAATAGCTAAAGATGATACATGGCCAAATCAAACACAGACACAGAGATAGAAGAATCTAGAATAGTAAGTTGTGGCACTGGAAGTCTCCCTAGTAATCAGAAAACCCAACCCTGCTTAGTAGATGAGGAAACTGACCACCAACAGAGCTGGTGAGCTCCACTCTACAAATGTTGAGGGCACGGACTACGTGCCAGGCACTTGCTTGATACTGGAGATATTAAAGTAAACAGAACATGATACCCGTACTCAAGGGGCTCTTAGCCAGGATAGCAGAGGGCAGTCTCTAGTAATCAGGAAATCCTGACACAGCATAGTGAGTATAATGAGCAAGGCATGCCAAGCAGCAAGGTGCAATGAATGCAGGTGTGGGGGCAGCTTGCAGAGGTCACATGGGAGCTGACCTGAGAAGGATGAGCGGAAGTCACATTGACACAGTTGTGGTGAAATGGAGTTCCAGGGAAGTCAAGGCCAGAGCTAGCCTAGTGAATTTAACACTTAAAGGAGTTAAGAGTTAAAGAGAACTCAGTGCTGTTCTAGAAGCCTGTCTGCCTACTAGAATATAAGGTTCATCTCACTAATCAGTACTCTAGGACAGAAAGCAGAACACACATGGCTCTTACTTCATCTCATGTGTGAATTCTAAGATTGTCTAAGCCTCTGGCTTAAAACTTGCTTTTCCCTTCAGAGGAATCATTACTCCCTCTTATAAACTTCCACTTCCTTGCAGAATATCTACATTCATTGGGCCATGCCACAAATTTTAAGTCTGGAAGGAATCTTAAAGAGTCATGTTGCAGTAGCCAAAGGTAGGGGTGTGGTCAGTGGGAACTGTTGCCACTCTGGTGCAGACAAACTAAGTCATTCTACATTTTGTTATATCCTTCAGGTTGAAATGACAATAATAAAACGTTCATCCCGGCAGAGGCAAACTTCATGTACCTACCGTCAACCCTTCCTACTCTACTGCACAGACTACACACCCGTGCACAGAAAGGACAGTCCCAAACAGGCATTGGAAGTGTGCAAAGTGTCCCTGCCAGTCAGTTGAGGCTGCCACGAGTTTTCCATTGAAAATGGAATGGCAGCCAGATCCAGATGTTCAAGAAAACCCACATCAGGGTTCATCCACTTAAAATCGTCTGTATTTCCATTGAAGAGCTGCATCCAACCAAACCAGTCTCTAATCCATTTCCAGACAGGGTCACTAAGAGCCAAGGATTGTTTCTGTCCCAGCAAGTTCACCAGGAGCAGTTCTCACTCATCTTCTCTGGCTGTGCTCTCTGGCATGTACTTGGTGGGGTGAACACAGAAGGGTCCTTAATGCCTAGCTGCACATCAAAAAACCGTGTGGACAGGACCACAGTGTAATTCCTGATGAAGGTTTCCTGGACTGGATAACAATCCTTGGCTGTATAAACGCCGATCCAGGTTTCATCTAAAGAGGAAATAAGTTGATTTTCAGAGAGAAGATAGGCAAAATTCCTATACATTTTTTTGTGGTAAAATACAGCCAACAGAAAATACACCTTTCAACTTTATAAGGATACATTGTGGAGGCATTCACATTGTTTTACAATTATCACCATTTACTGTGCAACACTCCTAAACTGAAAACTCTTACTTGTTCAATGATTTCCCATCATCCTCTCCTCCAATCCCTTGCAACCAGCATGCTAGTGACTGTCTGATAGATTTGGATACTTCATGCACACAGCATTTATCATTTTCTGACTGGCTTATTTTCCTTAACACAATGGCCTCAAGATTTGTTCATGTTACTACATATGCAAGAATTCATATCCTCTCCTTTAAAAAGGATGAAAACTATTCTCCTATAGGGGTGCATCACATAATTATCTATCTGCTGATGGTATCTGGGTTATTCCCAACAGTTTGATGCTAGGAATGAAGCCACTATAAACAAGGGTGTGCAACTAAATGGTTGAGTCCCTATAATTATTCTTTTGAGTATATGTTCAGAGTTGGATGCTCTGAACCATATAGCAACCTTATGCCTAATGTTTTGGTTAAATCCCACACTGTTTCTCACAGACTGAATGTTTACGCTTCGTGTTTCAAAGCAATTTCAAAATTAACAGGAATAGTTTTGTATCAAAGCAGGCCTTTTGCATTTAGAATAATGGAACAGGTCTGGACAGTGTGGCTTTAGGAAGTGATGGTGGGGAAGGAAATGTTGGCACCTAATACAGGAGTATTCTTGGAAAGGATTACTTTTGGGTCACAGTCCTCATGGAGATCATAAAAAGTCTACAGGTAGGGTGAGTCAATAAGATCCAAAGTGACAGAGACATGCAAGTGACACTAGAAGATGAAGTTGTTTCAATAACCCACTAAGAAAGCAGTTACAAACAGTTGCAAAATACACAAGGGGACTTACATGGGCTTTAAACCCATCTAAGCATGTAAGTTTCCCTAAAGACTACCTTCCTTAAGGGACTTAGAAGACAACATTCCCCAACATACACCCTGAGATGCAATGCATGAATCCTTCCCATTCTTACAGGATCTGGCTGTCCTTCTGTCGGACCACTCCTGGACTGTGATCTGCTCCTGAGGCCCCCCAATGGAGTACTGATCTTCAAAGGTAGAATTCTGTGGGATGTCCAGAGGGTCCCAGGGTTCTGTCAAGGATATCTTTGCACACTGTTTGGTGGCTTGTTCAATCTGAAACATCACTCCATCCTTATAGAGCAAAATGTATTCAAATAATCTGAAATGTGGATTAAAAGAAAATGGTTAAGGGCTTTTATGTTAAATTCATCATGTCTTTCATCAGCATAGAGTCCAAAGGCCTTTGATATAAGTTACCATATAGATAACTTTAAAATGATTGCAAATCATTTGTTCTTTATAAACTTTATTCATATCAAACCATCCAACTGTGGAAAAAATAAAAATTAGAAGTTAAACTTGACTGTTCATGAGGTGAATTCTTATCAGTGAACAACTGCAAGCTAGACCCCAAGCTTAGGCTACCAACATTAGGGCATGTGAGTTTCACAGATGGCTTATGAGGATTTGTTTAGAAGGACAAAGGAAGAATTCCCTTTGGTTGGGATCCTGTACCATTAAATCAAGGAATTACCGAAATATTCCCCAAAGACAGAACACACTGCCGAAACACAGACAAAGTAACTACACATCACTGTGTGGCCAACCTGCACAAGTGATTTGCTCTGTTGACAGAAGCCACTCTGTATGTAGCCTGAGGATTCTGGGCAGCAAGGACAAAGGCCAAGGATCTCCAGAGTAAATGATTCATATGCAAGTTTGCCCATGTGGTGTCTACCCCAAGTGACTTTATGCATGAAGGTGCATGGTGAAAGGAAGGTATCCTAAGTCTAACATCTATATCTGAGCCAGAAGTCTCTAGGTATGCTGTATTGCACCTCTTAAAGCTAAGTAATCTTGGCACTTCCTAAAGCCTTTGGTCCATGGTCAGTTCAAAACTCAGACCATTAGTGCTGCGTGGGCAGAATAGGAAGTGAAGCCACTGAGAGAATACTTTTCAAAAGTGAAAAGAGACTGCCAGCTATGGGTTGTGAGTAGAACTAAGTGGCAGCACACACACATGGCATCAGTTCAATCCCAGCACCACAAGGAAAAATGGTGACCAACCTATGATCCCTGCTGAATGAGCCTCAGGCTCTGAAAAATATGCTTACATAGGATACATGCTCTCTATTCAAAGTCTGTATGTAAAATTATTTTTGTAGAGGTGGGTGTGGGGGGGGCCTGTCCCAGGCACAACTTCTGCTTGCCCTCCTTGGTGTCTCCTGACCTGGGGACTATACACAGGTGTACCCACCCTGTCGGACCAAGCCATCCAGAGTTTGTCAACATTGCAGTGTTAGTCCTACCTCCACCCACCAGGAGAGGGAGTGTCTCAGACCCGCCAGCACCCACTGGGAGAGCCATCTGAGTATTGGACCTGCTTGCACCCACTAGAAAAGAACCTTGGACTGGTACCCACCAGGAGAGGGAGAGACCCCACCTGTACCCACTGGAAAAAGGGATGGGAAGACAACAATATAAGAACACATTCAACAACAGAAAGACCAATATGATGCCCCTAGAGTCGAAGAACTCTACACCAGCAAGACCTGAACACCCCAACACAGATGAAGCAGAAGAGAATGACCTTTAAAAAAACTTTATGAAGATGATAGAGACCCTCAAAGAGGAAATGTGAAAATCCCTTAAAGAAATGGAAGAAAAAAACAAACAAAAATGCAAGAAATGAACAAATCTCTTAAAGAAAGCAAGGAAAGCCAAGAAAAAAAGAACAACCAAACAAGTGGAGTAAACAATTCAAACAGTTCAAGTCATGAAAGCTTGAAATAGTGATAGCAAAAAACAGAAAAAATACAGTCTGATGGAATGCTGGGAAAAGAAAAGCTGAGTAAATGACCAGGAACTATAGATGCAAGCATAACCAACAGAATACAAGAGATGGAAGAGAGAATCTCAGAGGTTGAAGCTACACTAGGAGAAATAGAGTCATCAGCCAAAGAAAATCTTAAGTCCAACAAGTCCCTAACACAAAATATCCTGGAAATATGAGACACTGTGAAAAGGTCAAACCTAAGAATAATATAGATATAGATAATAATAGATATAGAAGAAGGTGAAGAAAACCACCTCAAAGGTGCAGAAAACATATTCAACAAAATCAGAGAAGAAAGCTTTCCCAACCTAAAGAAAGACATGCCAATGAAAGTACAAGAAGCTTACAGAACACCAAATAGACTGAACCAAAAACAAGTCTCCTCTCTACCTAATAGTCAAAAAACCAAACATACAGAATAAAAAAAAAAGAATATTAAGAATAGCAAAGGAAAAAGGCCAAGTAACATATAAAGGCAGACCTATTAGAATTACACCCAATTTCTGAAAGCCAGAAGGTCCTGGATAGCTATTCTACAAATGCTAAGAGACCATAAAAAGATACAGGCTAGCAGAATGGATAAGAAGACAGAATCAATCCTCCTGCTGCATACAGGAAACACACATCAACTTCAAAGACAGATGTCACCTCAGAGTAAAGGGTTGGGAAAACATTTTCCAATCAAATGGATCCAAGAAACAAGCGGGGGTAGCAATCCTCGTACCTAACAGATTTGACTTCTAACTAAAATCAATCCAAAGAGGTGAAGAATGTCATTTCATATTCATCACAGAAAAATTAATCCAGATGATGTCTCAATTCTGAACATCTATGCACCAAATACAAAGGCACCCACATTCATAAAAGAAACAGTACTGAAATTCCAATCACACATAAAACCTCACACAATTATAGTGGGAGACTTCAACAACCCACTCTCATCACTAGACAGGACCACCAGACAAAAACTTAACAAAGAAACAAAGGCTATAAGACAAGTTATGACCCATTTGGGTTTAACAGACATCTATAGAACATTCCATCCAAACACAAAAGAATATATCTTTTTTTCAGTTCCACATGGAACCTTCCCTAAAATCAACCACATACTTGGCAACATAGCAAACCTCAATAGGTATAAAAAATTGGAATAAGCCTCTGTATCTTCTCAGACCACCATGCTTTAAATTAGAATTCAACAACAACACAAATTGCAGAAGCCCTACAAACTCATGAAAATTAAACAATACACAATTGCACCAATCCTGGGTCAAGGAAAAAATAAAAAAATAAATTAAAGATTTCCTAGAATTTAATGAGAATGAAGAAACAACATACCCAAACATCTGGGACACTTTGAAAGCAGTGATAAGAGGAAAATTTAAGTGCCTACATGAAGAACCTGGAGAATAGTCACACTAGAGAATTAACAGCACACCTGAAGGCTCTAGAACAAAAAGAAGCAAATTCAAGCTTACAAAAACACAACTAAGAAAGAAACTACAGACCAATCTCCTTCATGAACATGATGCAAAAATACTCAATAGAATACTGGCAAATCAAATCCAAGAACACATCAGAAAAAGCATCCACCATGATCAAGTAGGCGTCATCCCAAGGATGCACGGATGCTTCAACATACAAAAATCCATCAATGTAAACAAACTGAAAAATAAAAACTACATGATTATCTCACTAGACGCTGAAAAAGCCTTTGACAAAACTCAACAACCCTTCATTATAAATGTCCTGGAGAGATCAGGGATAACAAGAATATACCTAAACATATTAAAAGCAATGTACAGCAAACCAACAGCCAACATCTAATTAAATGGAGAGAAATTCAATGCAATTCCTCTAAAATCAAGAACAAGACAAGGCTGTTCAATCTCTACATATCTCTTTAATTGGTACTTGAATTTCTAGCTTGAGCAATAAGACAACAAAAGGAGATCAAGGGGTTACAAATTGGAAAGGAAGAAGTCAAACTTTCACTATTTACAGATGATATGATAGTTTACATGAATGACCTGAAAAAGTCTACCAGGGGACTCCTACAGATGAAAAACACCTTCAGCAAAGTGGCAGGATACAAGACTAACTAAAAAAGAAAAATCAGTAGCCCTGCTACATATAAATGGGCTGATAAAGAAATCAGAGAAACATCACCCATTACAATAGCCACAAACAACATAAACTATTTTGTAGTAACAGTAACAAAAACAAGTGAAAGACCTATATAACAAGAACTTGGAGTCTTTAAAGAAAGAAATTAAAGAAGAAACCAGAAAATAGAAAGATCTCCCATGCTCTTGGATAGGTAGGATCAACAGAGTAAAAATGGCAATCTTGCCAAAAGCAATCTACAGATTCAGTGAAATTCCCATCAAAATCCCAGCAAAATTCTTCACAGACCTTGAAAGAACAAGATCAACTTTTTAGGGGAAAACAAAACAAAACAAAAAAAACAGCATAGACAAAACAACCCTGTACAATAAATGAACTTGCAGAGGCATCACCATCCTTGACTTCCAGCTCTATTATAGATCTATAGTACTGAAAACTTCTTGGTATTGGCACAAAAATAGGCAGGTAGACCAATGGAATTGAATTGAAAAACCCTGATATTAACCAAAACACCTACAAACACTTGATTTTTGACAAGAAAGCTAAATTTATACAATGGAAAAAGGTAAGCATCTTCAACAAATGGTGCTGGCTAACTGGATGATAGATTGTAGAACATTTCAGATAGGCCACATCTATGGCCGTGCACAAAACTTAAGTCCAAATGGATCAAAGACCTCAACATGAACGAAGCCACACTGAACCTATCAGAAGAGAAGGTGGGAAGTACCATTAAAAGAACTGGTACAGGAGACAGCTTCCTGAACAATATACCAGTAGCACAGACACTGAGATTGACAATTAATAAATGAGACCTCCTGAAACTGAGAAGCTTCTGTAAGGCAAAGGACACAGTCAACAACACAAAACGGCAGCCCACAGAATGGGAAAAGATTTTCACCAACCCCACATCTGACAGAGGACTGATCTCCAAAATATACAAAGAACTCAAGAACCTAGTCACCAAAATACCAAATAATCTAACTAAAAAGTGGGATACAGAACAAAATAGAGAATTCTCAATAGAGGAATCTAAAATGGCTGAAATACTCTTACGAAAGTGCTCAACATCCTTAGCCATCAGGGAAATGCTAATTAAAACAACTCTGAGATACAATCTTACTCCTGTCAGAATGGCTAAATTCAAAATCACCAATGACAGTTTATGCTGAAGAGAATATGGAGAAAGGGGAACACTCCTCCGTTGCTGGTGGGAGTGCAAACTCATACAGCCACTTTGAAAATCAGTATGGCAGTTCTTCAGGAAAATGGGAATCAGTCTACCTCAAGATCCAGGATTTCCACTCTTATGAATATACCCAAAGGATGCCCATTTCATACAACAAGGTCATCTGTTTAACTAGTTCATAGCAGCATTATTTGTAATAGCTAGAACCTGGAAGATGCCCCTCAACTGAAGAATAGATAGAGAAAAAGTGGTACATTTACACAATGGAGTACTGCTCAGTGGGAAAAAAACAATGGAATCTTGAAATTAGTAGGCAAATGGATGGAACTAGAAGAAACCATCTTGAGTGAGGTAATCCAGTTACAAAAAGACAAACATGGTATGTACTCACTCGTATATAGATATTAGACATAGAGCAAATGTTTACCAGCCTATAATCCACACCTCCAGAGAAGCTAGTAAACAAGGAGAACCCTAAGAGAGGCATACATGGCCCCCTGGAGAAGGGGAAAAGGACAAAATCTCCGAGAAATTTGGGAGCACAGGGGGAGGGGAGAGGGAGTTAGTAGAAGGAGATTGGGAGAAGAGGAACAGGAGGAAAGCATGAGAGACAAGGAAAATTGAATTGGGTGAAGAATAAAGGAGAGCAAGAAAAGAGATACCATAATAGAGGGAGCCATTGTAGATTTAAAGAGAAATCTGGAACTAGGGAAATGTGCAGATATTCACAAGGATGACCCCAACTAGGAATATAAGCAATAGTGGAGAAGCTACCTTAAATGCCCTTCCCCTATAATGAGATTGATGAATACCTTATATGCCATCCTAGAGCCTTCGTCCAGTAGCTGATGGAAGCGGAAGCAGACATCCATAGCTAAGCACTGAGCCAAACTCCTGGAATCCAGTTGCAGAGTGGGAGGAGTGATGAGCAAAGGGATCAAGACCAAGCTGGTGAAACCCACAGAAACAGCTGACCTGAACATGGGGGAGCACATGGACCCAGACTGATAGCTGGGAAACCAGCATAGGACAGAACCAGAAGCCCTGAATGTGAGTGTTGGTTAGGAGGTTTTTGCAGTCTATGGATCCTCTGGTAGTGGTTCAGTATTTATTCCTAATACACGAATGGACTTTGGGAACCTACTCTCCATTGAGGGATATTCTCTCAGCCTAGACACATGGGGGAGAGATGATGCAGTGTTCAAAATGCTTGCTACAGGAGCATGATAGACCTGGGTTTGGGTCCCCAACATTCAAATAAAAGTGGGCATGACAATGGATTCCTGTAACTCCAGCACTGGGTGATATGGACAAGAGAGACAGATCTCTGAAGCTCATTGGCCATCCAGCATAACCAAGTCAATGTGTTTTAGGTTCAGTGACAGACATGGTCTCAAAACAATGTGAAGAGTGGCTAAATAAAGGCATCCAGGGTCCACCTCTGGTGTCCACATGTATGAACACACCCATCCACATGCACACATACATACATTTACACTGACAAATACATACACACACATATACAAAAACATCACATATTTAGCCCACACTACACACATAAACGCTATTTTAAATGAAGCTAATCTCTATGATATGCATGTGGGGGCCCACACAGAATAGTTAGCTTTTTGAAGTGTCTGGTCGGAATGCCAGTTTTATCTTACAATCAGTTAAGTCTCCAACATAATAGAACCTAAACATTCATTGACTAAATTTAGAAATATCAACAACAAATTTGAAAGCACAGTCAAAGACTAAATGTAAGAACCTTTGCCCATAAGCAAATCCTAATCTATGGTGCTTTTAATGACAAGTTGGCCACCCAAGAAACAGTCGGCTGTGTACCCTCAGATATACAGATGAGTAGTTTCTCCCTATTGCTAGCATAATTCTATGCTTTCCCTAGGTCTGTGATGTTCAAACAGTGAAAACTGTCTCCTGAAAGAAAGACTCATATTCATGTGTGTGGGTAGCCGTCATAAGACCACTGCCATCAACCCCCAAACCCACTCCAGCATCCGTATTTCCCACAGAGACCTTGCCACCCTCACCAGTGCTTCCTAGCCTGGCTGAGTACACATACCCAGTGTGCCATACATATTCAAACTGACCAGGATGTATAGAAGTGGGGCTGGATGCCTACTGATCAGCTTCTCTGTGTAACTGAACTGTTATCTGAACGCATAAGCTGTGGAGATGATTTCCACCATGTGAGACAAGACTGAAGAACAAAGCAGCAAGAAGAAAGAACTAGCAGGCAGGCTGGGGTTCCAACAGTTTCCTTATTTTCTGGGGTGATCAGAGACTCCAATAAAGGTTTATGATAACCGTCCTCTGTTCTTTGAAAGCTTCATTTTTGGCTTGTGATTTTGTGCTGCCCGTCCATGACCAGTGCTCATTTCTGATAGAGTCGAGGAAAAGAGGAGCTCTATGTAAAGTCCAAAACAAGAGCTATATTTAGTCAGCTTTCAGTTGCACGATTAAGGTTTGAGTCAACAACTTTCGAGAAAGAAAGGTCACTTTGGCTCACAGGGCCAGACATTTCAGTCCAGCCAGTGGACCTGCTACTCTGGGGTCTGTGATGAAGCAGGACATCAGGGTGGGGGCATGTAGCACAGCGACTCAAAGTTGAGAACAACAACCACGTCTACAGACTCGTGAAAAGTGGACTTCCCATGGAGCATCCACACTGAACACCCTTAGAGTATAGAGTTGCCTTATTGTATTTCTTTTATATATTTCCTGGAAAGCTTCCTTGGGTATCATTGAACTTGTGCCCTGGTTTCTGTCACCTCCACAAATGATATTATGCCTACAGCTTGATGAGACTTTGGCTCAAGATGTTTGGAAAGAACACATCAGTGGTGAGGTGTGTGCTTCCAGCATTATCATGTCAGAAAACAAGTTATCCAGTTGCTCACTGTTACGTTGCTGACTTTGAACACCATACATGATTCATGATAACACAGATATCTCCATGAACAATCAGCCATCGGTGTTGGATGATACTTTATGATGCTAGGAATATCCTTTATCTAGTGTTGGCTTCAAACTTAACTGCCCATTATGTGCTTTTAATTTCTTTAGACAATTTATTTCTTTTATTGCTCATGTGCAGCTTATATGTGTGTATGTATGTGTGTGTACAAAAGAGGGGGGAGGGAGAGAGTTAGTTAGTTACTTAGTTACTTAGTTAGTTTGTAAATACAAATCCATGCTCCTAGAGACATTAGAGGACAACTTTCTGGAGTTTGTTCTCTCCTCCACCAAAAAGGTTCCAGTGAGAAAAAGCAGGTGATAAGGCTTGGTAGCAAATGCCTTTATCTGTTATAATATCTTAGTAACCTTCACCCAGAAATTATAGAATTATAATTATAAAATCATTTCCTGAGTCAATTAGTTCATTAGAGGTTGGTATAATAAGACTATCAGCAGAATAAATGACACCTGCCCATGTTGCCTTGTCCGTGCAGGATAACAATACTCTCAAGGCTATATATATTAAATGGATAAGCAAGGTTTCCTACTTAGTCACTGAGAGTTCCTTCCAGCCAGTGTCTGCTCACACTGACCCAATTGACCTTTGAATGCTTGATGACTTTATGAGATGGCAGGTAACCCAGGCTCACTATGGGCTCTCCTGGTCAGACTTGATGGGAATCGACCTAGAAACCAGCATGGGAAATAGATGTCATTGCTTGGGTGGCCTTTCAGCTATTAGAGTTTCTTATGTGTACAAAATCATAAATTCATATTGCTATTTCTAGTTGAAATTTAATATTGTAGATTTTCATGATTGCTTTTATATTTATCTATCTTCTCTATTAAAATAAAAAATGTTTCCAAAATTATTAACAAGATAATGTATTGCTTTATACTATAATCAAAACTATTATAAAAGTAAAAATGTGGAATAAGGTTGGGATTTTATCACAGGAATTTTGTCCTTAGACTGGGTTTTGGGGGGCTTGAAATAAATACTGTGCTAACATGTTCACGCAAAACAAGCTGACTCTGTTACACTTCTAGATTAACAGTCATTTAGCCTCCTTTGTTTCAGTTTGTTCTAAATTTAGGAACTCTACACTCTTCTCCTTTGGTTTAATTTTATTATTTAAACATGATAAAATGCCATGCTTTGAAACTCAAAATGCTCCCGAGAAACATACTGAGGGAAATCTCTCTTCTATTCCAACCTTTCCCCTTCTTCACATCCCTTAAGGATAACATTCTTAATCAGCTTCCACCTTAATTTTTCTGGTTCATTCCTATTCTTACATGGACAAAAGCACTGTAACAAATAACTTTGTTCTCTGCTGTTTGGAAGATGCAGCGTCATCTGAAACAGAACACTCGGGTCAGAAGGTAAGACTGTCAGTGGTTGTTTTAAATGTTACCAGATTTCTCTCCCTTAGACTTTTGTACTTTTACCAGCAACATATGAGTGCCTGCTTTCTTTACAGTCCTGCCAACAAAGGATGCTGCCAAACTTGTATTTGTGCCCATCTGATAAGTGGGTTAGGGAAATCAGAATCCCAATGCTATTTTTTAGACCTTAAAAATGTATAATGTCCTTACAAAAGATGACCATGTAATGCTTGAGAAAACTTACACAGTGCATAGTCTAGGAGCTCATACCCAGATCAAGGCATCACACCACAGGAATCAGGCTCCTCATCTAATCAGTATCTGCCTTTCTGATGAGTGAGATGATTTCCATTCATGCAGAGCAGTTGAACAAACTTTGACCTGTCAAAGCAACATCTCCTTTTTTTTCTTGTGAAAAACAACCATCTGCTATCAAGTTTGGGGACTTTTTTATCTCCAATTTTCTGTTTAATAATTTGCCTTTTATATCATATATATATTTTTTTTCTTGGCTATAGTTTTACAATGAATAGAATATTTACAATTTAAGTAAGATTTCTTTTATTGCTTCTGATTTTTTTTGCCCCTAAAACACTATCCCTGACCTCATATTTATAAAGGGATGACTCAATGCTCTCTGTTTTTTCTCTCATATTTAGAACTTTAAACCAAATTGCAGTTTATTTTTACACATGGTGTACTATCTAAAAACTAATTTTATTGTGCTAAAGTTGCTGCACCAGCACTGTTGAACACTCCATCTTTCTGTGGTGATGTGAGATTGACCACCGTGCACTCAGTCTCCAGCGGTGCCTGGATATACTTCAGGACTCTTTTGTCCCTCTTGACATGGAACTGACATGCATGTCAGTTCCCCAGAATCACATTGGTTTATGAAAAAAAAAGAAAAGAAACTCACAGTAGGCATCAGCTATTGTTTTCTTCTTCATTGGAATTATACTGGATATTTGGAATCTAACACTTTTCCAAATGAAGTCAAGAATGAACCCTTTAACACAAATCAAACAACCTGAGCTTCTGGCATTTTTATCTTGCTGGAGTTAAATGTCTATTAAAAGAATAATATCCTCACCATGTAAAGTAATTCTATCCTTTCCAAATATGTATGTCTACTTTTGATTCTTATGATTTAGTAATGTTCAATTTTTTCCTAACAAGTTTCTCACATTCCTTTTAATTCCTTTTTATCTTCTGTTGCTAGAATAAATGGAATCTTCATTTGCCTGTTTGTTTATAGCAGGTCATTACAGGTTTTTGTTTGTTTGTTTGTTTGAGATAGGGCTTCTCTGTGTAACAGCTCTGGCTGTCCTGAAACTCACTTTGTAGACCAGGATGGCCTGAAATTCACAGAGATCCACATGCCTCTGCCTCTCAAGTATAGGGATTAAGGGCTTGTGCAAGCACAGCACAGCTAAGATTACAGGTTTTTATTGTTAAATTTATACTCAGCCATCTTACTGAATTCTGTTATTGCTTGAATTCAATTTTGATTTTTATTTTCAAAGCTGACTACATCCATTTCTTTGAAAACTATTCTCTTCATTTCTTATTTCTCTTTATTTCTCTTTCCTAATTCTCACCCTCTAAGCTTCCTCTCTGGCTACAGTGGCTATTAAACCAATATCATTAAACAAGAGTAGAAGTGATCCTTCCTTGTCCTCAGCTGAGTGGGAGAAAGACTATAGCCCCAATATAAAAATACATGGGTTTTATTTATCATGGAAAGAAAGTGTCATTATTTCCTATAAAATACTTTCTGTCAATCATGTTTATTGAATTTGATCAACTGCTTTTCCATAAGACTAAGGAATATTCTCATGTGCATCTTGTATTAAATGTGTTGAGATTTCCAAATAAGAAGCTATTCCTGCATCCTAATATTCCACAAAACATCCCTTTGATATCCCTTAAATGAAATTATTTAAATCAAAGGTTTGGATGATTTTAAAGAGCAATGTTTTTATTTGAATTAGAAACAAGATTGTTTTACATGTCAATCCCAGTTGCCTCTCCCCCCTCTTCCTCTGCCCCCCCCAACTAACACCCTACCTATCCCATACCCTTTATGCTCCCCAGGGAGGGTGAGGCCTTCCATAGTGGGTCTTCAAAGTCTGTCATATACTTTGGGATAGGGCCTAGGCCCACCCAGGTGTATAGAGGCTCAGGGAGTATCCCTCTATGTGGAAGGGGCTCCCAAAGTCCATTCCTATGCTAGGGATAAGTACTGATCTACTACAAGAGGCCCCATAGATTTCTGGGGTCTCCTCACTGACACTCACGCTCATGGGCTCTGGATCAGTCCCATGCTGGTTTCCCAGCTATCAGTCTGGGGACCAAGAGCTCTCCCTTGTTCAGGTCTGTGCTGTATTTTTATGTACTATTTGGCTCTGTTTGCTTCTTGGGACTTTTTGATCAACAGCCATACAAGATTCACTAGAGAAATTACAACACTTTTAACAGTGTGTGTGTGTGTGTGTGTGTGTGTGTGTGTGTGTGTGTGTGTGTAAGAGAGAGAGAGAGAGAGAGAGAGAGAGAGAGAGAGAGAGAGAGAGAGCTGGTTCTCAATTCACTTTCATTTAAATGATTCCCACAGTTTTGTTGATATCAGTAATGCAAACCACACTTTGGATGTTATGATTTTGTTTTACCTTCTTGTATAAAGTACCTTTAATGGAAATATAGAAGGATTGCTGGCTCATGGGAACATCTACTTTTATAAGATGTTACTGCTTTCCCCAAACTGGTCTTAGAGTTTTGAACTGGATGTGGAGACGTACACATGTCTCTGCACCCAAGTGTGTATTAGAAGTTTACCCTACTATGAAGAGAAAGAAAACTCAGTAATGTTTTACTTTGGTGTAAAGCTTTTGAACAAAGTAAAAGGCCTTGCAGAAAGCTAAGGTCACAGAGCCAAGACACCCCATTTGCTTGCCCTGGGTTGTC